TTTATTTATGTAGCGCTTTTAACAATACAGATTGTGACAAAGCAACTGAACAGTATTAATTAGGAAAATAGTGTCAATAATGCAAAATGACAATAGTAAACACTCATTTTTCAGTTAAAGACAGTTCATCATTGAATTCAGTGATGTCAACATCCAGCTCAGTTTAAATAATATCTTTGCAATCATGTCAACGATATCGCTGGAAATGAAGTGTCCCCAACTAAGCAAGCCAGAGGCGACAGCGGCAAGGAACCAAAACTCCATCGGTGACAGAATGGAGAAAAAACCTTGGGAGAAACCAGGCTCAGTCGGGGGGCCAGTTCTCCTCTGACCAGACGAACCAGCAGAACGGAAAAATCAATATAAGACGTAATAAAACAGACGATGAATAATATTAACAGCAATTATTATATGATGCAATCAAACTTGTAGCAAAATGTGGTAGTTCTGTATGTTGTTTCAGGGTTGGCATCATCTGAGGTCCTCTGAGGGGTTGCATCTTCTCTTCTCAGGTGTTCTGGATCCAGACTGAAGCTTGTGTGAATCCTAGTTACCACGGGATGTTAATCCCGTGGCAAAAGACAGAGAAACAAATACAAACATAATTAGCGTAGCTGCTGTTCCAACCAAGCAAAAATGATTTGTTTAACCCAAACTAATGAATAATAATGTGCATTTGATTAGATATAACTGCAGTAAAAGATTATGACTGCAGTAAAAGATTATGAGATGCATTATTTGAATGCTTGGCCAAAGAGATGTGTCTTTAATCTAGATTTAAACAGAGAGAGTGTGTCTGAACCCCGAACGGTATCAGGAAGGCTATTCCAGAGTTTGGGAGCCAAATGCGAAAAAGCTCTACCTCCTTTAGTGGACTTTGCTATCCTAGGTACTACCAAAAGTCCAGAGTTTTGCGACCTTAGGGAGCGTGATGGATTGTAGCGTGGTAGAAGACTAGTTAGGTACGCAGGAGCTAACCCATTAAGGGCCTTATAGGCAAGTAATAATATTTTGTAACTGGTATGGAACTTAATAGGTAGCCAGTGCAGGGACTGTAAAATTGGGGTAATATGATCATATTTTCTTGACCTGGTAAGGACTCTAGCCGCTGCATTTTGGACTACCTGTAGCTTGTTTATTGAAGATGCAGGACAACCACCTAGCAGTGCATTACAATAGTCCAGTCTAGAGGTCATGAATGCATGAACTAGCTTTTCTGCATCAGAAACAGGTAACATGTTTCATAACTTGGCAATGTTTCTAAGATGGAAGAATGCTGTTTTAGTAACATGGTAAATATGATTTTCAGAAGACAAGTTGCTATTTAATATAACACCCAGATTTTTGACTGTAGAGGAAGTAACAGTACACCTGTCTAGTGCAAATTGTAATCCAAGAGATTCGGTGTACTGTCTTTTTGTCCAATAAGTAATATCTCTGTCTTATCCGAATTTAATAAGAGAAACTTATTGGTCATCCAATCTTTTACATTTTCAACACTCTGTTAGCTTAGATAATTTAGAAGTTTCATCAGGTCTTGTTGAGATATGTAGTTGAGTATCATCAGCATAACAGTGGAAACTAATCCCGTATTTTCTAATAATATTACCAAGCGGCAACAAGTATATTGAAAATAGCAGAGGACCTACACTGTAAAAAATGACAGTGAATTTAACGGTAAAAGACTGTAAAAATGCTACAGTAAAAATCTGTTAAATGGTTAACGGTAAATTCCCCTACTATATACGGTGAAAAATTGTATTGGGCATTAATTTTACGGTAGTATACCGTTTTTTGTAAGTGAAAAAAGGCTGTATAATTTACAGTGAATAACCGTAAATTGACATTCCCAGAATTCCCAGTGTTACATTTCAAATTGGATGTTTTTTTGTTGAAATAACTATGTTTCTTCTTAGTTTTTTCTTATCAGTTTTGTATATTAGGGTTGTGTGTTACACCTAATGTTGTTAAATTAAATTATAAAACTGAAATATATTGCATTATTTCAGTTTCATGTGTGTTACCATGATGGTGTTTAGTGTTTGTGTGAATGACACTGTGCATCTTCTATATATGTTATTATTTAAAAGCTGCTTTTGATGGGCTTTGGTTCATCATGTGACTTTCTCATCACCACCTGCATTTGGTGGTTATCACTCTATTACAAAGGTACAAAACAGATTTCAGTACTTCAATAGGTTGGTGTATTAACATTATATCAGTTAATGAAATTACAGTATTTAACTGTAAATTTAAGTAAAACTGTAAAACCTAAAACATTGCTACCATATTTTTTTACGATAAAATTCCGGCAACCACTGCTGCCAGTTTTTTACCGTAAATGTTACGGATTTTTTTTACAGTGTAGGACAGATCCTTGTGGCACTCTATACTTTACTGGTGATAATTGAGATGACTCCCCGTTTAAATAAACAAAGTGGCAGCGATCGGACAGGTAGGATCTAAAACATCTTAAAGCCTGCCCTTGAATACCTGTATAGTTTTGTAATCGATCTATGAGTATGTCATGATCTATAGTGTCGAACGCAGCACTAAGATCAAGTAAAACTAGCAGTGAGATGCAGCCTTGGTCTGATGCAAGAAGCAAGTCATTTGTAATTTTAACAAGTGCAGTTTCTGTGCTATGGTGGGGCCTGAAACCTGACTGAAATTCTTCATCGAGATAATTTTTTTGCTGGAAGGAGCACAATTGAGCAGACACGACTGTTTCTAAAATTTTAGACATAAAAGGACGATTTGAAATGGGTCTGTAATTTGCCAGTTCACTAGGATCTAGTTGTGGTTTCTTAATAAGAGGCTTAATAACCGCCAGCTTGAATGGTTTTGGGATGTGACCTAAAGACAACGACGAGTTAATAATATTGAGAAGTGGTTCTTCTGCTACAGGTAACAACTCTTTCAGTAATTTAGTGGGTACAGGATCTAACAGGCATGTTGTTGGTTTAGATGCAGTAATAAGTTTATTTAGCTCTTCCTGTCCTATAGTTGTAAAGCACTGCAGTTTATCTTTTGGTGCGATGAATGAAGCTGAAGTATTATACGCTGTAGAATCTACATTTGTTATTGTATTTCTGATGTTATCTATTTTATCAGTAAATAAATTCATAAAGTCATTACTATTAAACTGTGAGGGAATATTTAGATCGGGTGGCGTCTGGTTATTTGTTAATCTAGCCACTGTGCTAAATAAAAACCTTGGATTGTTTTGGTTATTATCTATGAGTTTATGGATATGCTAGGCCCTGGCAGCTTTTAGAGCCTGTCTATAGCTGGACATACTGTTTTTCCTTGACTAAAGTCATGGTCTTCTATGATTAGCACTATTCTATAGCACTATTGATGTACCGTTATGAGGAACTCACACCCACACCTTATCACTCCATTTAATTGACCACTGTATCAGTGGTGGTTTGACAGTTTTATTCCAGATAAAAAAATAAAAAATAAAAAAGTTGTTCTTAAGTACAAAATAGATGTCATATTAGAAATAAGCATACATTATGTTTTTCACAATATGTATATATATATATTTTTTTCTTTTTCTTTTTTTGAATATACTATCTGCACACTATTTTTATGCCTTTAAACTTAAAAATAAATGTGGAAAAGTTTTCTCTGCACACCTAAAAAGTAAAAAACAAACAAAAAACACATATATAATGTAAATAAATCAAAATACAGTAAATTATTTAATGCAAATTTCATTATAGATCAATAAAACACTGTGTTATTTCCAAACATTCTGTCATGCTGAACAATTGTTTTAAGCTTATAAGGCACAAACGCATCAAAAACAAAGATAAGAAAATGTAAAACAATTCCCTATATCAATAACAATATACAACATAGTTTCTATAAACAGTAAAACCATCCCCTTGAATTTATAAGTTTACATACATCTCTACCAGCAAAAGCAATCATATCAATGCAGCTGAAAGCAGTGACAGCAAGTAATACTTCATTTATATGATTAATTTCTTCAGTCTTGCCATATTCCCTCACATAATAAACTCTGAATCCTTGATAGGGCACAAAACAAAAAAACATGACCAACAGGAAAACAACGTTCTTCAGTTGTGCCCAGAACTCTTGACGTTGACATGTGGCCTTTCCAAATGTCTTACTCACGTTGAGCAGAAAATAAACTTGGAAAAATGCCAGCACACTCCAAACCAGTATTACTAGTATACAAATTACATAGTTTAATCTCTTCACAGTAGGCTGCATGAGAGCCTGACCAAAATGAAAGCAATGAGTTGAATCGTTCTGTGTCATTCCATATTTAGCAATAGTTGCTGGGAACATAGAGCCGAATATGACCAACCAGACGGTTGCACTTGCAATCGTGGCGTGAAGGATGCGATGAAACTCTAGCTTGTGCTGCTGATCAGAGTGCTCCACATAGCGCACAATTAGAAGGAAGACATAGAAGATGAATGCAAGATACATGTGGGCATGGATCATAAGACTGACAATTTTGCAGAAATGTATGCCCAGAATCCAGTCTTCATCAGAAGCATAATAGTAAATTCGAAAGGGCACCGTGAGAAGGAAAAAGGAGTGCACTGCTATCAGGTTGATCACAGACACTTTGGTGAAAGAGAGACATCTTTGAGACTGTAGCATACAAGACATTAGTACAACATTCAGAGTCCCAGCGAGAAAGATGAATATATATAAAACCAGAAGAGCAATTCTAAAGTCCTCCGGCAGGCCAGTTTGGTTTGTGGTGTTGTTCATGATCATGCCTGACACTGTGATTTGGAGAAAGACATTTTTGTTTATACTTGCTCTCAAAAATGAATATATACAGTATATATAGAGAGAGTGAGAGAGAGAGAGAGAGAGTCTAAGAAATTACTTTTAGATTTAAGATGAAATATAATAGAACATATGAAACATAAACTCACATTTTCCCAAAACTCTTTTCCTGGTAAAATGTTTTGGCCCTGAAAAATGCAAGACAGATTAATCACATTTCTTCTTTTGAAATTTTTTTTTTCTCCTAACATCTTGAAGTACAGCAAGTAATTAAATAAGTAAATAAATAAAAACTTTTAAAAAAGTAAGTTTGTAAAAATTTGAAATGTGAAGTTGTACTAAGTGACAACTTGGATATCTGAATGTAAATGTAATGTACATTTTAAGGCAGCACAACAACGGTAATGGCCCGGTCATGTCAAGGTACTTGAAGAATTTGAAAAGAATTTGAAGATCTTCTAGGGTGTTTGAAATGTGCTGAACCTAATGGTTCTTTCATATGATGTAATATTAGCAGAAGCAGAAGTTTCAAAACACTTCCCTTGTAATGCTTTCTAAACACCTTTCAATTGAAAAAAATCCTAAATCTATGTAACTGACTATTTTAGTCAAGGCAATCCATATTTGTAAAGTAGGTCTAACATGTTCTTCTTTTTTTTTATACATAACATGATGATATTAGATTTATTCTGCAAAATAATACTAAATAAACAACTATTTTAAACTATTTTCTACTCAGTTTGTACATTGTTTGGCACAAGAATTTACCCGTAGTATCAATCATATAGTGAATGTCAATATTCCTTCAGCAACAGCATGCAGACAGTTTGATGTATTGGAGACAGTTCATCCATTAACTGCAGGTGCCAAGAGAGTTGAAGATGAATGTGATGTCAGTGTGTCAGTCTTCTGTCAATGTCAAACGGACAGCCTCCAGAGCCTTCAGGAAACACCTCTCGACTGTTATTTGGCGCAGTAGAGATTAAAGATTTACAAATCTCACGCACAAGGAAGTTAGCATTGCAATGTTTTCTTTCTCAATCTGGCCTTCCTGGTCTCTTTATCTCACTATTCTTCTATTACATAATCTTCTGTGTTTTTAATAGTCTTATTCTTGTCTTTTGCTAGCTAAGATGATCATGAAAGGTCACATATTCTTATAAGACTGTTAGAATAATAATATGTCCAAATGGCAGTACACTCCAATGAACGTTTTGCATGATCTAATGCAGTGTATGGGCTATTAAATAAAATATAAAAATGTTCAAGGAAACAAATCACTTTATTGTACTGTTAAAAAAAGGTAAGAGGAAATAACCTATTTTTCTGGGTCAGGCTTTTTTTTTTAAACAACAAGATGTAAACTCATATACATCCATCTCTCTCAAGTTAGCAATCCTGAAAACACATCAATGTAAAATTAAAAAAAAAAAGATGTTGACTTTTTAAAAATCATTGGTAGAATTTAGGGTTGCTATTGAAATTGCATATTACAAACAAACTGATAACGTACCTTTTTTCAAAATGAGGTGGGGTGTGAGAGATGCTTTGGTGACACTGAGCGAGTTTGGAATTATGTTTTTTTAATTGGTAAAATTGTTTTGTGTGTTGTCTGTAATGTTTTGAGAAATTGTGTAAATTAAAAAGGTTTTAAAAGTCAAGTCTCTCTCTCTCTCTCTCTCTCTCTCTCTCTCTCTCTATCTCTCTAACTCTAGTTTTACAATTCATGTAGTCACCTTTATATTTCATATTCTGTTAGAGTAGCAAATCTCATATTTCATATTTTCATTTACATCTAAAAAAAAATGTTGTACTCCATAGTACTGATCATTTACACACAATTATTTTAAAGGTGCCATAGAATAGAAAACTGTATTTACCTTGGCATAGTTGAATAATGAGAGTTCTGTACATGGAAATGATATACCATGAGCCTCAAACACCATTATTTCCTCCTCCTAATGTAATTCTTGTGCGTGTAAAAGACCACTTAAAAAGAGGCGAATCCCAACCAACATTTGCATAGGCCAGCCGGTGTTAGGAGATTTTCCAAGTACTGCTCACTGCAGAGCCAAATGACCTCCAGCTCCCCCTCTCTGGATGTCCAGCTCCACCTCTGTGTGAACTAATGGGTGGAATTATGTTTAGCGATAGGGTAAGGGGTAGGGTTAAGGAGTGGTTGGGTGTCTAGCTCCACCCATTACATCCAGCGAGGGGGAGCTAGAGCTCCAGCTCCTCCCATTTGGCTCTGCAGCGAGCACCCTCTCAGATTTTCGGTTTCAGTGGGCGGAGCAAACATGAATATTCATGAGTTTCCCGGACATGTGCGTGGAACTGAGAATTTCAGTTCATGCTCCTTGTATCTCAGCAGGTTTAATGGAATATTTTTTTTAAAAAAGGTAAATATATTTACAGCGTTGCACAAACCTATGCCTAAACTAAATTTGTTCATCATTTTGTAACAGTTTACAATGTTTTTATTAGTTTGCACGTTTTGTGCAAATGATTGCAGACATTCATCACACTTAAGATAGTTGTAACTTACTTTGATTTCAGTTCGTTGTGCTGTAGCTTGCAATGCTTTAAACTGTGTCTGTTGTTAGTTGTTATCATTTGAGTACAACAGCTGAAATAAACTTGCATTTGTGGATCGTTTTTCATGTATCCTGGTGTGATTGTTCTTAAACTGTTAGGCTTAGATTCCTATTCATTTTGTAAATATAGCCTAAGACCACACACACACAAGCATGGACGTGTTCCTTTAATAAGTACAATTTTGGTTTAAACAAAATTGTATGGACAAAAGTTTTAAAAGTAGTCTACATTTGGTACACTGTACATGAGAAAACAAATACTTCACTGCATTTTATGGAATGGAATAAGAAACTAATTTCATGTTTAAAAAATGATTTTATTAACAAATGTTCATAAGTGTCCTTGTGCTTGTTTTGATAAATAGAAAATACTGTTCTAAGGATTTGTATTAGTAAGGTTCTTTGTTCATGTTCACCAACTGCATCAGATTAAAAATATTTAAAAACTTTAACATTGTGAAATAATTTAAAATAAAAATGTTTTCCCCCTGTGATGTCAGATCTTAACTTCTCCTCTTCAGTGTCTCATGATCCTTCAGAAATCATTCTAATATGCTGATTTGCTGCACAAGAAACATTTCTGATTATTATCACAGTTGAAAATGGTTGTACTGCTTAATGAAGTGTGGAAACCATTATACAGCGACAGGATTCCTTGATGAATGGAAAAATCAGAAAAACAGCATTTAGTTGAAATAGAAATAATTTTTTACATTATAAATGTCTTTACTGTCATCATTTTTATTAAATTAATGTGTCCTTGAAGAACAAAAATACACATTTCTTAAAAATAAAAAAATCATAGTAATCCCAAACTTTTGAATGGTAATGTCCTGTATCAAATGCCAGAATCAATTTAAGAAATTTCTTTTTTTTTAGCTTCATTATGTCATATTTTATACAGCAGATTCTACAAGGACGTTAACATCACACTCTCTTGTCTCCTATGTTGTCTTGTTTTGGTGCATAAATCTTTTTAGTTTGTAACAAGGATTCAAGAATCTGAGGGTGCAAAAAAAAATGTAAATATCGAGAAAAAAATCGCCTTTAAAATTTTCCAAATGAAGTTCTTAGCAATGCAAAAATTAAGTTTTAATATATTTACAGTAGGACATTTACAAAATATCTTCATGGAACATGATCTTTATTTAATATCCTAATGATTTTTGGCATAAAAGAAAAATCTATCATTTTGACCCATACAATGATTTTGGCCATTGCTAATAATATACCCCAGCGACTTAAGACTGGTTTTGTGGTCCAGAGTCACATATTTACATACTTGGTAATAAAGCTCTTCTGATTCTGATTCTGATTCTGAGTTTCACAATTTGAGTTGAATTACTGAAATAAACAAACTTTTCCACGACATTCTAATTTATTGAGATGCACCTGTATATATATATATATATATATATAAAACCTAATTAAGAGTATATATGTTTGTGAAACTTTATGACTTAGCCTATAAATAATGTTGCATGAGTGTTTGTTGTGCATCAAAATAGGCCATGCATTTTTATCAATGATCATCATTGTGCATCATCCAGGTACAGTCAGTGCAACACATGGTCAAAGAACAGACGACAGAGAATAGCATCAGTGTAGGTTGCAAAATGTTTATTAGGCCACTGATATGGTAGCGAATGTTATTTCATTTATTACCAGAAGATGGCCGTTTTAAAACTTAAAAGGTTACAGAAGAGCATAAAAATAAATAAATGAAATGGTAGTTTGATCTGCACTACTATTGGAAACCTGTGTAGCTGTAATCATCCAGGTGTTCTGGGATTTTTGGTTTCTGTGCAAATGGAACCTTAAACCTTGTGACAATCTTAATTTGTAAATTTACATTTGTTTGTAAAAATGTTTAACTATTTTACATTGGGGGGAAAAAAGACATTTCAGCAACATGTTTTTGCAGCAGTGTATGATTGTATCATATTTTACAACCAGACAGCAGACAGGTTGCAAAATGTTTATTAGGCCACTGATATGGTAGTGAATGTTATTTCATTTATTACCAGAAGATGGCCATTTTAAAACTTAAAAGGTTACAGAAGAGCATAAAAATAAATAAATGAAATGGTCGTTTGATCTGCACTACTATTGGAAACCTGTGTAGCTGTAATCATCCAGGTGTTCTGGGATTTTTGGTTTCTGTGCAAATGGAACCTTAAACCTTGTGACAATCTTAATTTGTAAATTTACATTTGTTTGTAAAAATGTTTAACTATTTTACATTGGGGGGGAAAAAAGAAATTTCAGCAACATGTTTTTGCAGCAGTGTATGATTGTATCATATTTTACAACCAGACAGCAGACAATTCACAACCAGACAACATGGAGAATGTTGAACGGGGTAAGTTAAGACATGGATCATCACACCAGTATACAAAAATATATACATAGGCCTAGATATGTTTCTATAGGTTTATTTCATTTGTTGCAGGCAGTGATGTATTCAGGAAACCTGTGTAGCTGTAATCATCCAGGTGTTCTGGGATTTTTGGTTTCTGTGCAAATGGAACCTTAAACCTTGTGACAATCTTAATTTGTAAATTTACATTTGTTTGTAAAAATGTTTAACTATTTTACATTGGGGGGAAAAAAGACATTTCAGCAACATGTTTTTGCAGCAGTGTATGATTGTATCATATTTTACAACCAGACAGCAGACAATTCACAACCAGACAACATGGAGAATGTTGAACGGGGTAAGTTAAGACATGGATCATCACACCAGTATACAAAAATATATACATAGGCCTATATGTCCACACATACGTTTATATAGGTTTATTTCATTTGTTGCAGGCAGTGATGTATTCAACAAATGATAACAACTAATAACAGACACCGTTTTAAAGCATCGCAAGCTAGAAATGAAAAGCACAAAGAACTTAAATCAATGTATAGGCTACAACTAGCTGAAGTTTGCTGTGCTTTATCCTAACATTACAAAAATAATGCCTGCCATCATTCAGTCAGTGACGACTGCACAAAACGTACACTGTACACTAATAAAAACATTATAAACTGTTACGAAATGATAAACAAATGTAGTTTGTGCAACACTGTAAATATATTTACCTTTTTTAAAATTCCATTAAACCTGCTGAGATACAAGGAGCGTGTGCTGAAATTCTCACTCAGTTCCACGCCCATGTCCTGGCATGAATATTCATGTATGCTCCGCCCACTGAAACCGAAAATCTCGGAATCAAAAATCTCGTAACACCTGACCTGCACAGCCGAATCATCGATGCAGTGTTGCCAGCTATTGCTATTCAAACAAACAAAACCCGATAAATAAGTAAAAATAAACCACAATTATTTCTAATCTTTTTGCAATTAAGATAAGATAAAGATATCGCTGACCCTAAACTGCAACGTCCTACTTTATTAACTTTCTAAATGGTAAAAAAAAGTGGAAAAGACAAGTCCAGAAACGCTTAACAGCTGGATCTGGCAACAAAGGCTGCGTCCGCGCCCTCACTCACAGCTCTCTCTCAAACCTCGTTCACTCCGCCAGCGACAGCGTCTCGCAGTGGTCATGTTCATACCACGGACGCTAAACATTCTTGCTAAATCTGTATCTTCGTCTGATACAGGCTCAAACATATACGGGTTAGATGCCTAATCTCTCCATCGTTCACGCCGGACAGTAGAGATCCGTTTGCTGCGTGAGCTACTGAAATGAGCCGCTGTGAAACAGCCAATCAGAGCAGAGCTCAATATTATTATTCATGACCCTTCCAAATAAAGTAATCCTAGGGGGGGAAATCCTAGGGTTGTAAATGGACATGTAAAACCGTTTCTGGAGAATGTTTGCCCTTATCTAAGCCACATACCTTCTATGCAGATATCAGAGAACAATTTAAAATATTGTATCAATGCATTCTATGGCACCTTTAAATGTTTATGTATATTTTTAGGTTATTCAGGTTAAACACCTGCAGCAAGTTTTCAGAATCCATGAGGAATGCATTCACGCTGAATTAACAGTAGATCAGTGCTTTAAACCAATTAGCTGTGGATTAGTCTGTTCGATTTCTAATCCACACCAATGCACTGTGGCTCACACTAAACAATGCACTGTCTTTATGTGCAGTATCTGCTAACAACTCCAGAGGGAAGTCATGTGTCAGCAGAATCTTTGCATTAAGCAAGATGTCCAACATATACACTCTGAGGTAGGTTTATAATTTCTGTTTTGACTAAACTGACATTAATACAATTTCATAAAAGAAGATATTTATTATGCTATCGCACAACTTTTATTTATTGCTGCTACAGTAATTCATATTTTAGTTTTAGTTTGGTTAAGACATATTTTATATCATGAGTATTGTACAAACTCCAGATAGTTTAGATTTGCCACTGTTTATGTATGATTTATTGATTTATTTACTCATTCTCTTATTTTAAGAGATTAATTCCCTTTTCTTGTGCACCATGGAGTTTATAATGGAATAATCCAGTTGTTATGTTTCAATGGACATGTGTACATTGTAAAAGGCCTGGCCCATTTGTTGTATCTCTTTTGTTAAATGGGTCCTATTATGCTCTTTTACAAAGTCTTGATTTTGTTTTGGGGGTGTACTAGAACAGGCTCTCATACTAGGTTGCTCGAAAAACATTATTTTTCACATATTTTACATTATCTCTACACATCTCTCCCCAGTCTGGCATGAACAGCTCGAATAGTTCCTGTATCAAATGAAGGCCCGCCTTCTGAAATACGAAATGTGCTGTGATTGGTTAGCTGGGCCAGTGTGTGCTGTGATTGGTTAGCTGGGCCAGTGTGTGTTGTGATTGGCAGCACTTGGCGCCTGGTCAGGAAACGTCATGCCCCTTACCATAGCCGCCTGCGAGCTTCAGTGTAAATATTGTGTCAAAATCAAATCAATTAGAGCGCGATTTAAACCCGGATGACTGTAACCACTCTAAGTTTATCTGCCTTGGGAAAGCTAGCGTGTCTCCGACATAGTGATAACACTCGTTGCCTTCTCTAGTGCAGCTCAACCAGGTCTCGTCCCATTCGTTGATATTTGTGATATCACAAATCCCGGAAAATATGCGTTGTAGTCCAAACGAGTCGTTCGTTGTAGTTTTTGAAAAGTGATTTCTGTTAAATAAAATATCTCCTTTTGAAGTGGCCTTTGAACTTTGAAACTTTGCAGATCTTTTTTATGCTCAAACAGCAACATTACAGACTAACTAAAGTTGAAAAAATGAAAAAGCATAATAGGACCCCTTTAAGAAATGACTGTTAAAGGAAGTTCGCCTGAAAATGAAAAGCCTGTAATTTGTGCACTGTTCCTTTAACTTACATTTATGATGCATTTGCTCAGAGAAATGTTCGGTGGCCAGTGGTCATCTAGCACTCGACTCGATGGCAGAACAGTCATTATAACTGGAGCAAATACTGGCATTGGAAAAGAAACCGCAAGAGACCTGGCAAAACACGGTATCACATTTATCTTATTCTTGTGTGCATTTACCAGCCTTTGTAATGCAAATCAGATTGAAACTAACTAAAACTAAAAAAAAAAACATGAAATGTATCTTACACAAAAGTATTTAGGATTTTTTGGAGTTGTTCCACAGGGGCCAGGATAATAATGGCTTGCAGAGACCTTGAGAAAGCAGAAAGAGCACAGAAAGAGATAATGGAGGACTCAGGGAACCAAAACATAGTGATCAGGAATCTAGACTTATCTGACACCAAATCAATCAGAGAATTTGCTGAGGTAATCAACAATGGTAAGTGATTAATAAAAGAGTTTTACATCCAAATCTGAATGTGTAATTGATCCAGCAAAATTTTAACTTGAAGTAATTTACTCAAAAATACCAATGTGGCTCCTACAACAGACCAAAACAATTATTAAAACCCTCTTGTTTACAGAGGAGAGAGCACTTCACATACTCATTAACAATGCTGAGATCATGATGTGTCCCTACTCTAAGACAGCAGATGGTTTTGAAATGCAGTTTGGTGTCAACCACTTAGGTAAAGTGTTTTTCATGTGTTATTCATTCAAGCGCAGTGTGTCACAGACCTCTCCTTTAATGCCTCTTTTAACATATAATGCATATTTTAACAATAATATTCCTTTACATATCTTTACCTTTGCTTAAAATCTTGACTTGCTGCATGTTTAATGGTGCAGACTTATTGTCACGATTTCGGTGGGGTCTACTTGGGCTTGTTATCATGGAGCACATGGCCTTTTGTTTTGATGGCTTGCCATGTGCTCTGCTGTCATCCTGGTGTTCACAGCCCTCTCGTTATCCCTGTTAGCTAATTCTCCCTTCTCACCTGCACCTCGTTTTGTCCTCATTATTTCTTCCCTTTATCTGGCCCTCTTGGACGCTATCTTGTGTCAGTCCATAATATGTTGTGCAGCACCTTGGATCGTCTCTGTCCATGATGTGTTTGTAGGAATCAGTTTTTTTTTTTTTTTTCCTAGTCTAGTCGGTCTGGCGTTCCTGTTTTTGTCACCCTCCCCTTTCTACCTTCCTGCCTCCCTAGGATTCTGGTCGGCTGTCTTCCTTGGCTCTCACTACTCATAGGCCTGTCTTTCCAAAGCAGTTCCATCCTATTCCTCTCTGCCCACGCTCGATACCACCCCTGGAATTTAGCGGCGGCTTTCTATTGCCGGTTTGTCGCCTCTCTTCCCCGCGGGCTCGACCGCGGCTGGTCTAACCTCCGCGCTGATCAGAACTGATTTTTTGCTGGGGTTTTGCTATCTGGCTGAGTTACTGACTTTTTGTTATCACCGTTCAATAAACTTGGAATTTGTTTTCACCTGCTGTTGGATCCCGGTCTCGTTTCTGACACTTATGGTATATGAATCGTGTTTTTGTACTATTACATAAACTTGTATGTAAGTGACATAATTGATGTTGTAGCGTCTGGACCACTCAAACACACAATATATATTTTGTTAGCTAGATTTAACAAATACTCTGTAACACCCCAGGTCAATTAGGTCACTTCCTGTTAACCTTCCTGCTGATTGATCTGCTGAAGAGATCTGCCCCCTCAAGAATCATCAACCTTTCCTCCATGGCTCATAGTTGGGGCACAATAGCACTTGATGATATCAATAGTGAGAGGAATTTCCACAGTAGGAGGGCATATGGTCAGAGTAAATTGGCCAAGATCCTTTTCACTCGCTCCTTGGCCAAAAAAACTCAAGGGTAAGTGATCTTTAAAAATATGGAAGGTTAAATAAATGGGAAATTTTGGCATACTTTTGCCTATCATTAATTGTATCTTCAGACACGGGTGTTACGGCATATGCAGTCCATCCAGGAATTGTGCGGACAGAACTTAAAAGACATATGAATCTCGGACTTCTAATCATGTGGAAGGTTGTCAGACCTTTCACAAATACCCCAGTGCAGGGAGCACAAACTACCATCTACTGTGCAGTACAACCAGAATTAGACAAAGAGAGTGGTGCTTACTACAGTTATTGAATTGTGTCATACTACAATAAATACAGTTCCAGCGGCAACACGTATAAACTGACTGGAACCCACAATTAATGTTTTTTTCTGTCTATTCCTTTCCCATTTTCTAAAGCAACTGCAGACCTTCAAGATGCACCAGAGCTGCTAGAGATGATGAAATGGCTGAGAAACTTTGGGAGCTCAGCTGCAAAATGCTGGAAATAGTATGGAACTGAATGCAGTGTTTTCCATGGACAATTCGGTATACCCATCATGAAATACCCAACTTGTATTACTTATTATTATTTGCAATTAATTCCAACATGAACACCCAAGAAAAAAGTCATGACACAAACCTCATCAACAAATTTTTTTTATTTTTATTTATTTATTTATTTTCAAAGTTAGATGTCAAACAATATTTCCAATTAGAATAATTATTTTCTTTATTTCATTCACTAAATCTCCATTTGCATTACCAAATCCATCAGCCACATCCAGAACGCTGCTGCCAGAATTCTGACTAGAACCAGAAAATCTGAGCATATTACACCAGTCCTCAGGTCCTTACACTGGCTTCCAGTTATATTTAGGATTGATTTTAAAGTACTTTTACTCGTTTATAAATCACTCAATGGCCTAGGACCTAAATATATAGCAGATATGCTCACTGAATATAAACCTAACAGACCACTCAGATCATTAGGATCGAGTCAGTTAGAAATACCAAGGGTTCACACAAAACAAGGGGAATGTGCTTTTAGTTATTATGCCACCCGCAGTTGGAATCAGCTTCCAGAAGAGATCAGATGTGCTAAAACATTAGTCACATTTAAATGCAGACTCAAAACTCATCTGTTTAGCTGTGCATTTATAGAATGAGCACTGTGCGATGTCCGAACTGATTGCACTATATTATATGTATAATCGTTTTCTTAAATTCATTTTAAACCTCTTAAATAAATTATTTTTTTTAAATAATTTTCTAAGTTTTTAAATTCCTTGTTTTATTGTTGTGATTATTGTTTTTATTTTGTTTTATGTAAAGCACTTTGAATTACCATTGTGTATGAAATGTGCTACACAAATAAACTTGCCTTGCCTTGCCTTACATTATACGGTGAGCATGTAACAATTCCCATACACTGGAAATAAAGTCAATTTCAGCTGGTTGACCTTCCACAGGCAACATTTCCTTAAACCCCACACTGCTTAACAACAGTGTTTTGGTAACTAAGCTAATTTGTCCAGATCCAGGAGCTGTCTGTCTTTTTGCTTGGTTGATTTCTCTGATTTTTTTTTTAATCTGTGAGTTTTAATGATGTAAATCAGTTGAGGAAAATGTCTGCATGTATATTAAACAACAACTTTTGTGCTGAAGGAAGTAAGTATATAACACCTACTCTATATAAATGTATACAATTAATCTATCACAATAAAAATAATCACATTTAATGTGATAATGATGACAGCTGCCTGTGTTACACTTATTGATTTCTGTACATCAGATTTTTACATTGCACTCTTCCCCAGGATATTATGCTATGATATTAATGCTGCATTAAAAACGGCCTTTTATTAAATGTAAACTGAAGACACTAAAAAACTCAAAATAATCAACCAATTCAAATAACAAATATTTTCAGTTTAACAGATAACATACTGCCAAATGGGTTTACCCATGGATCTATTGTGTTTGTCAGTGTTTCATGTGACCTAAGAAAAACATGAATTTACTAGACCAACAATGACATTTGTTGGCACAAAAATATCAGAAAACATTGTTCACTCTTCTCCTATTCTAACCAAATGACTTTGGTTTGCTTAACAGTATACATTGCTTATTTCAGGGCTTCCATACAAAGACATTTTGAAATGGGGTTCAAAGAGTGGGGCAAGGGGGGGCAAGCATATTTTAGGGCTGAGGGTAAATTAATCACCATTCAAATAAGAGATTACATTAGAAAACAAATGCAACAATTAAGTTCATTTCTTTTTTCTCTATGAGAAATACCACTTAGGAAGTTCAATAAGTTCAAGTAAATCAGATGAGTTGTGCAATATAGCCTCTGTGAAATGAAAATACATGAAATAACCCAAAACTGTTTGAAACTGAAAGCTTAAAGACCAGCAGGCACCAAAGTGAGGAAATTAAAGTTGTTTCACTGCAGTTAAAGACTGTATGCCTTTACATTGTGCTGTTCAAACAGTTTAAGCAAATAAGCTACTACAAATAAATTAAATCGGATAATACCTTAAATAGAAGTGCTTATAGCTGGTTTATTTTCCCTTTTGAACTATAGTATTGGGCAGTGTTGCCCACACCTGAGATTTAGACCCTCCCTCGACTCCTCCTCTTGTACTCTCCGACTGTCTTGACTCTGAGATCTGTTAGTACCAGATCTCAACCCCTCCTGAGGATGAACTTTCCCATCAGGCAGTTTGAATTCAACAGATGCGAATGAAGACATACTTCCATTTTTCTTTGCCCACATTTTAGAAGACTCACCCATTGGAGATACCTTAAGTTCCTTGTTTCTCCTAGCGTTCCCTCCACTGCTGCCATTATTGACACTTTGGGCATCCAAGAGAGGATCAGAGTCACTGCTATGTGACATATTGAAGTACATACATTTTGGTGTAGGGGGTTTAGCCATGTCCTCCATCTCAGAAGAGGATATTACAGCCAGAGGCGAGGCTTGGTTCTCACAATATGGGTAGGCTGAATACTCACTCCTGTTGTCCTGAGCCGTGTCAGCTGATGTGGTATCTGCATTTCCATACATTCCCATAGTTGCAGGAGGAGAGTTACGGATAAGGTGGTTTTCCTTGAGAAGCCACCTGCCTTTATCAATCAGCACTCCCTCTCCAGAGACCACATTATCTTTTAAAGCCATGCACTGTACCGACTCAGAGTCTCCGTCAAGTGAACTTTTATCGCTTGGTGATCTACTGTGGGACAGTGTCTCTTTGATTGCGCTTTTAGTATCCTGAAAAGAAGCAAGACTGCTGCTTTTTAAACTTGGACTGAGAGTAGGTTTTGTTGTCATCCATGTAGACGATTTCATCAAACCGTTCTCGTTTACATTGTTTATTCTTTTTGGCTTCTCTGAACTTTGTTTTATGATTTCTCGAAAAATACGTAACCTCTCCGCCTCCTCTTCTCCGCTCTCTGTAAAAAGCTCCTGCGATTGGTACCCACCATTGTCGGACGTCTCAGGCCTGTAATCAGATAGATCTGATGTATTCGGGCTCGGGAGACATTTTTGACCATACTGATCATCTGTCCTTGAGCAAGCCATAAACATCTCCCTCATTTTGCATTTGTCTGGCTCTATTCTGAGGTTGCCATTTGAATCACATGTGACAGTCAGGGTAGAGGACAACAAAGCCGAATTAATTAAGTCTAACAGCTCTTGTGAGATCTCAGTTGGATGTAGTAGATAATGATAGCCATGTTCCATACCCAAAGCTTTCTCAAACTGGCGCTCACTTGTACTCTGCATGCTGCTGCATGACTCCCCTTCCACAGAATCTTTAGTGTCAGTACATGAGCGTCTAACACCGTTCACGCTATTATGAGAATCAAGCAAACCTACATAGTCTTCCTCTTCTACATCACATTCTTCAGCAGAACTGTCCTTTTTAGTGAAACTACCTTCCTCTAATGTCTGGGCTTTGCAGTGTTCGGAATCACTTGTGTTTGGCTTTGTTTCTGTCCCATCCTCATCCACAGCCTCATGATCAGAGGTTTTACAGGAGTCTGTTTCAGCATCTGGATCTACTCTATAAACTTCATAGCTCTCATGGTCCACCTCATTAATGTCGAGTTCTTCCACAAGCCCATTTTCAATTTGCTGCATTTTCTCATATTCAGC